ACCCGAGTTGGTTACACCAAATGAACAGCAGCCTCGAGCACTGCAATTGGGTTTTTTTAAGCCGGGGGATACAGTCAAGGCGGAAAATTCGTTCAAGGACGAATCATCCTATTTCAGGGTTAGTGCTGGCAAACAATCACCGAAAGTAGCTAAAGAAGTCCTTAAAAGTAGCTGATCGTAGATATATAATATATAATTAGAATTACCTGAAATATATTTAATAAATAAATAAATTATGTAAAATATATTAAACTATATAAAGCAAAATTGAAAAAAAGCTTGTTATTATTTGTACATATTCTTTGAATATTAAAGTACACATTAGCTACGTGAATATTACTCAAAAATAAATAAATTATTTAAAACTGTATATGCTTATATTCATTTTCATATTCACTAGAACCATTTTTAATTTATTTAAATTTAAAGAAGTCCAGCAATCAACCTTGATTCTCAACAAAGTCAATGTAGACTTTTCCCTTTAAATATCACAAAAGTATTTATTCAATTTTATTATATTCTTGTGTCTCTTCTGCTGAGAATATTATAGTTATTAATTTAAGAAAAAGAGGAAAATATTCTTGAAATTAAACAGAACTTTATGCAAGTGAAAAAGGTACTTCATCAATTTTTAAATTCAGCTAAGAGATAGCCAAAAGTGTAACTCTGCTAAGTGTATTAACTGGGACTCATTTTGGTCTGTTTCTTCTCCACTTAAAGTTTCTGCCTTAGTGGCCACGGACTTCGCACAATTTGTTGACACTGGGCGGGCACTAAAATGAAGGACTCCTGTTAGCAGCTGCATGGCCACGCCCCGCTTCCTTTGTGGGCGTCACTTCCGTTTCCGGCGCCATCTTGCGGTCTCGCGCATAAATTAGTTTCCACCGCTCGTCTAATAAATTTAAATCTTCAGCCGCATTAAAGCAAATTTGGGAAAGCGTGGGTCAGCACGCTGCTACCATCAACTGGGATATTTACTGTCGGATTGTGTTTCCTTATTCGTTATGCTGTTTGTCCATTATTCTTTGGCCGCCTTCGAGCTTATATTTGCCTTTTGTGTTTGCCTTTTCGGCATTTTTAATTCCGCAAAAACGTGCTAACTCATTCTTGTGGCTTTGCCTGGCCGTGACAACTTTTAGATTTGAGATTTTCCATAATTTTATGTGTTACCACGCCTCTGTTTTCCGGGGTTTTCCATGCTTCTCCTATGTTTTGAATTAGGCGGCGAAACATAAAGTGTCCTTGCGGCCGTAAACGCCAACGCATCGAATAAAATGCAAATCGAAATCGCCACGACTTATTGCTGCCTGTTATTGTAAATTATTTTGGCTTCGCCTGTCGGATATGGATATTGCCAGTGGGCGGCAATTCTATTTTATACGCTTTATATCGGTTTTTGTTGACAGCTGGGGATTCTGTTCTTTTTAAAGGTGGAAGAGAGGTTGTTAAATCTGAGGGGCTCGGGCTCGCTAAACAAATCGCGAATAAGCCATTGCAAAGTGAAAAGTTATTCACCCATTCTCATCGCCAGAAACACCGCGAGGCGCTCCTGGGATTTGTTGACTTTCATTGCCAATTCCTGTTTGAAAACGGGGCGAAACATTGGCTGACACATTTCTCTTGAATTTTTTTTTATTTATAAGGAAAATGTTTAGCATTCAGCTGACGTTTTGTTTGTAAACAACAATGCACTTCTTCCCCTACGCTGCAAATGAAAATGTTTAAAATGGACTGGTATATCCACAGCGCAATTGCATTTAAAGATTTAATAGGTGAAGAATATTTTAGTGGACTTGTCACTAGTTTACCAATGCAATAAGGTATAATAACAATGTACTGATGAAAAGGTTATAATGATATTCAGAATGTGTTTCCTGAGGATCTAGGAATCTAGCCTTATTCAAATTAAACAGAAATGGCACAAATATAAATAGCATAAGATCCGAATAGAGTTTTGTGGTCCCAGCTTCTGTTTTGGGCCATTTTGATTGGCGTGTACATATGTGGAAGCACAACAAATTGTGGCCAAGCTGTCAGCACAATGCACCCGCATTTAGAGCCACCAAGCGAAACAGCTAAATACAGCAAATTTCAATAGAGATATTACACGGCAAATCAATACACTCTGAAATTAATTAGATTTAAGTATAGACCAAAAAATACACATCAAATTGATTAAACTAAAACAATATACTTTTTCCCTATCTTTTCACAATTATTTTATAATCAATTTATAATCATAACCATGATTATATTAGGACGAAAAACCCCTTTCTTTTTGGCATTATTTTTATTTCATTTTCCTTTTGCAGTCTGCTGGCTTGATTTTACATACTCTTTCGCTTCGCTGGCCAACAATATTTATTTTTATATTTCGGTTTTTTCTTTATTATTTATGGCTGCAAATACTCGCGAAATATTCAGCGATAAATTGATATATTTAATTGAAAAACATGCCAGACGATGGAAGTTTTATGGGTGTAGAAACTCTTCGTTTTTCGTGGCAACCAATAAATAGGAAAAATATTTCGTGGGAATTCCGGTAGCTTTTAATTGGCAGCGTTTCAATGCATTATCAAATTAGAAATAGTTTCACTTTTGATATGATACCTGTTTCAGAGCAGATTTTTCTCGTTATTTAAATTCAGTGTATCAAACTTAATTTGGCACGACTTGGACATAAAGCTTAATTAAATTAGACTCTGCCAATCTAATCATTATATTAATATTTCAAAGTAATTCATGGCCTCCAACACTTGCCAGCATCTGAATCTCTCCATGAAAACTCAGCATTTTCTCACTGCATTTGCATTTGACCCAGCTTTTCTATAATTATGCAGTTTCCGCCCACTTCCTGCAGCTGGGAAAACTTTGTGCCCTTATTAGGAATCTAAGGCAGCCCCGAATATAAGATGAAAAACGTTGGCACATTGTGATATATATTCTGTGCATTCCCAGTGGCCATTTTATGGCCGATGCGGAAACCCTAACGAGGAAAATGTGCCACCAAAAGACGTATACAGTTGTGTTCAAGTTGATTTACTTTAAGGGTTTAAATATTTTTCAATCTCGGATGAGGTTAATATATCAATAAACTTAAAACCAATCATACATTAAATTAGACTCCCAAAAACTGAAGACCAATTATACATTAAATTAGAGTGTATTTCTATAGGGGAAACCACACAGTAAATATAATTCTCTCTTCATCCATACACGTATTTAAAAACAGTCCTTCAAAGTAAAGTTAAAGCTAACAATAAGCTCCTTGTATCCCTTTGCTACTATTAATTTAAATTCAAGTGTGCAAATAGTGCCTACTATTCTTTTGAAGACAGCTGAATAAGTATTTTTTTAAGCGCATTCTTGGTGCGCCTGCATCATCATCTTCCGCACCATTTAGGCTGATTATTCGCATTTTTGGGCCCTAATTGTCGGAGGCGTATATAGTAACCTCCGCCAGCATTATAAATTCAATTTGGCCCAAATCAACAACAGTGCATGGCGAAGGAGGACAAAGGAAAAGGACTGCCTGTGGGGCGACAGACAACGTCTTAAAGGATTAAACAAGTAAAAGCAAAAGTGATTGTCATGCGCCTGGAACATGGCAGGCGACACTTTCTCCGCTGGTGTTGCCACTCCTCCTCTCACTTGGACACTTTCTTCGGCCTCATTTGCATAAAGGGAACCGGCCATAAATTCAGCCCACAGACGGTTAGGACGCGTCTGAGCCGCCACTAAAATCTACGGGTGTTTGCCTGACAAATGGCCAGCTATTTGGGGCTAGGTAAAAGGCTAGGATCGAGCCCACAGATTGGCAGCTGTTTTAGGGTTTATTTTAACCAGAAAATACTTTATTTCTGCCACTCTTAATATAAGTTGAAATAATTGTGGGATTAAGGGTGCTTGATGTAGTAACCGCCCAAATATTATAAGGCCTAAATTAGATTGGAGTTTTTCCATTAACATTTTAGCATTTCATTAAATTAATCTAATAAACTCCTTAGTCATCTTACTTCCTTAAATTATTCATTTATCATTTCAAGTCTTCATCCTAAAGAAATACCATATGTAAAGTAACTATAAACCATCAAAAGCCATCATACATTTAAGTTTCTCTAATCTCTGAGCTCACACAATGATTTATAGGTATAAACCAGACACATAAATAATGAAGAAATTTGGATTATACATTAACTAAGGTCACAGATAATCACAATGTCTTAATTCACTTGTAGCAAACATTATTATTTATTAGTAGGGATAATTTCCTTTAGGGATTCACATATGTCCTTTGTGCTTTGGTGCATAAATTAGCAGAAGCCAAAAGCTTTACAATATTAACAATACAGCCACAACTCATTTAGGCACTATTCATAAATTAAAGTTTGTCTAACCTTTGAACAACTCGCACCTCTAACTCAAACGATGATTTATAACATACTAGTACTTGGCAGTATTACGCATACGCCACGTGGGTTGTATGGCATAAATTAGTTGAAGCCATTACCATTACTACCAGTGCTCCTGAGACCCGTATCCTTCAGTCCTTTTTTTTGTATCCTTCACGGCCACAAAAACGCCATCTGTTGTCACAATTTGGCCTGACCTTAACCTCGCCTCAAGAAAAACAGAAAAGGAAAAGCGAAAAGCGTGAAGGAAACTCCGAAGTGGAAAGCAAAGGGAAATGCCATCAAAACATAAACAAAAATGGGGGACAACAGCTGACGGGCTGCAAGGAACATATGTTTGCGGTGAGCGCATGCGCGGCAGAGAAGGACTTAAGAGAGCCACTTCCGGTTTAAGAGAGTCCCTTTGCAGACTGGCATTGTGTTTGCTTGCGAGGTTTGTCTTTGCCGATTGTCTTTGCCTGTGGAAGCCGAGAATAAAGTCCACAGGAAGCAGTTGGCAACGCAGCATTTACTAGTTAACCGCCCGAAACTGCGGATTCCGGCGCCGCAATTCGCGCACAGTCTTCATCGCATCTCGGTGGCGTTCGCATCGTCGACGCTTCGGTTTCCCCAAAAATAAAATATTAATTCCCAGCCGAACCGAACCATCCTGAACTGAACTGAACCGTTGACTGTGAATTTTGTTTGACTTCCCATGCACTCGTGTCAGTTGCGTTCTGCGTTCCGTGCGCTGCGGCTGCGTTACTAGCTGAATTTCAGTTTTATATAAACTACAACAGCAAAAAGTATTTTTAAATTAATAAAAAAAAATCAAAGAAAAAACCTTAAGTGCTAAAACATATTTTTAAGTTATCAACTATATGCACTTTAGTTTCATTTTTAAAATGATTCGAGGACTGTATATCTTAAAAGAAAAGAGTGTTTAAAATGTTTTTATTCAGATAGTAAAATTAAATAGTTTTAATTTATTTAAAAAAAAAATAAATTTAATTAAATTAAAACGATCTATTTTGGAAATGATTTTATCAACAAATATATTACTAAAATGTAACGTAAATTAAGTAGATTTTTTTAAATACAAGTAGAAACAAGATTTTGTATAGCAACGTTTAAGATAAAACAAAAATGTATAAATTCCGTTAATACAAATATTTAAACTGTTAACAAATGTTCACTTTAATTCCAAATTAAATTTATATATTATAAAATTTATTTTAAAGTCATAGTAAGTAACAACTTTAAACATAATTGAACTTTATTTAATCAAATTTTAAAAATTATTTTTAAACCAGCCAACAGTTATCCGTGAAATGAACAGTTATTTAAAAGTAAAAAAACCCAATAATTTCAATAGAATCAATTAAAATGTAAATGAAACCCAAAATGTGTACTACAACACTGAACAGATTTAAACCATAAGTACAAATATTTGCGGAACAGCTGTTGAATAATTTGCATAAATCAACGTTGGAACAACAACACTTTGGGCTCTAGTTCTGCAGTAAGTGTCAACCCGTTGAATTATTTGTTTGACAATAAATTACCCAACCTATGTGCGCAGTTCTATAAATATCGCAGTCTGCAGGGAACCGTCGAGTCCTTTTTATTGGTAAATAATTAAATGCGAATTTGGGATTGCTCGTTCCCAGAAATACAGCCTGATCAAGTGGCTCTCATAAATTTTTCGAGAAATTTAAAGTCACTCAAGGGTGATTTCAACTCACTTCGAAAGCTCCTCTCGACATGAGAGTAATGGAATACTTATCATACAATTGCAATGAAGTAAAAGCGCATTTTCTGCAGATTTTCGGGAAATTTATCCGGCTTAATGCCAGTCTAGTCAATTGGGCAATGAGATTGCTTCCTTTTTTGTCAAATTTTTCTGTGGAAAAATTAATGGAGTGTTGAAGCATTGCTCTGCTTAACACTTGCTCTTCAAGTGGAAGTTCAGAGATTTTGACAAAAGAGGGCTGCCAAGGGTTCACGTCCTTCAGCTCCAACGCAGCTCTTGTATGAACCCTTCAAGGATTTCCTTTTGCCATCCCTTTGCCAGTCCATTGTCCCCGCCATCAAGTCCAAGTGAGTTCTCTATCATCGAAAGATAAAGAAAGCCAGCAGAGCCGCACAAAAAGTGACTTTGTCGGGGGGTCCTGGTCCTGAAACAATGCAAACAATCACAAAATGGCACTAGGCAAATACAAGAGCTGACCGCTTGCACGTGACATCGGAAAACATAAAAGAAAATTTGAAATCGAGAAAGTGGCAGAAATAGAAAAACAAATACCCAGGCAAACAAACTTCAATAAGCAAAAATGTTTTTGTGCTTCTTTTTTTTTAATTGCAAATTGTTTTGTCAACTAAAATGTTTTCGTTAGGGATTTAATATTTGTATAGCACCCATAATGCTTAAGAGTAATCCCTAACTCTTTTAAAGCATTTTTTATGATAACCCATTGTGCTTGACGAAAAAATATAAAATAAAATTGAATGATTAATGGTGTTGCTAAGGGGTAAATATTGTCATGACAGAAATAGTCCCCTAATTCATAGAAAAACTTGTTTTTATACCCTTGCAGAGGGTATTATAATTTTGGTCAGAAGTTTGTAACGCAGTGAAGGAGACGTTTCCGACCCCATAAAGTATATATATTCTTGATCAGGATCAATAGGGGAGTCGATATAGCCATGTCCGTCTGTCCGTCTGTCCGTCTGTCCGTCTGTCCGTCTGTCCGTCTGTCCGTCTGTTTCAATACCGTTTGCGAGCTCAGTTTAAAAGCTAGCGATCTGAAACTTTCACAATCGTCCTAAAACATGTGTACGCAGATCAAGTTTGAAAATCGCCCCGATCGGACGTCTATATCCTATAACCCCCATAGGAACAATTGGATATATCTTGCAAGAATTTATGATATTTCGCGCAGTGTAAAAGCTATTGACATTAATCTTTACAAATCGTATTTTTTTATGCATACCTTGATCAGGGTAAAAGCGCGTGGCGATCGGACGTCTATATCCTATAGCTCCCATAGGAACAATAGGGTAAAATCGGTTAAAATTTAATGATTTTTAGGATATTTCGCGCAGTGTAAAAGCTATTGACATAAATCTTTCCAAATCTTATTTTTTTATGCGTACCTTGATCAGGGTAAAAGCGCGTGATGATCGGACGTCTATATCCTATAGCTCCCATAGGAACAATAGGGTAAAATCGGTCCAAATTTGATGTTTTTCAGAATATTTCGCGATGTGTAAAAGCTATTGCTGTACATTTTTTCAAATCGTATTTTTTTATGCATTCATTCATCAAGGTAAAAGCGCGTGCTGATCGGACGTCTATATCCTATAGCTCCCATAGGAACAATACGGTGAAATCGGTCAAAATTTCATGTTTTTAGAATATTTCGCGCAGTGTATAAGCTATTGACACACATTTTTCCAAGTCTTATTTATTTAGGCATACCTTGATCAGGGTAAAAGCGCTTGCCGATTGGACGTCTATATCGTATAGCTTCCGTAGGAAAAATTGTTAAAGGCTGCGAAAATATCCCTTTTTTCCCTATTTGTATATGACAATTTTGCAGTATAAAAGCTATTGGCATGAAACTATGCAATTTATCTAATTTATTTATGTACACCTTGCTCAGGGTAAAAGTTGCTGCCAATCAGACAAGTACATACTACATCCGCTATTTAAAAATTAAATTAATTACGTATAGCTAATCTTTTTTTTATGTATAATTATAGAAAACTTAATTTTTATACCCTTGCAGAGGGTATTATAATTTTGGTCAGAAGTTTGTAACGCAGTGAAGGAGACGTTTCCGACCCCATAAAGTATATATATTCTTGATCAGGATCAATAGGGGAGTCGATATAGCCATGTCCGTCTGTCCGTCTGTCCGTCTGTCCGTCTGTCCGTCTGTTTCAATACCGTTTGCGAGCTCAGTTTAAAAGCTAGCGATCTGAAACTTTCACAATCGTCCTAAAACATGTGTACGCAGATCAAGTTTGAAAATCGCCCCGATCGGACGTCTATATCCTATAGCTCCCATAGGAACAATTGGATATATCTTGCAAGAATTTATGATATTTCGCGCAGTGTAAAAGCTATTGACATTAATCTTTACAAATCGTATTTTTTTATGCATACCTTGATCAGGGTAAAAGCGCGTGGCGATCGGACGTCTATATCCTATAGCTCCCATAGGAACAATAGGGTAAAATCGGTTAAAATTTAATGATTTTTAGGATATTTCGCGCAGTGTAAAAGCTATTGACATAAATCTTTCCAAATCTTATTTTTTTATGCGTACCTTGATCAGGGTAAAAGCGCGTGACGATCGGACGTCTATATCCTATAGCTCCCATAGGAACAATAGGGTAAAATCGGTCCAAATTTGATGTTTTTCAGAATATTTCGCGATGTGTAAAAGCTATTGCTGTACATTTTTTCAAATCGTATTTTTTTATGCATTCATTCATCAAGGTAAAAGCGCGTGCTGATCGGACGTCTATATCCTATAGCTCCCATAGGAACAATACGGTGAAATCGGTCAAAATTTCATGTTTTTTAGAATATTTCGCGCAGTGTATAAGCTATTGACACACATTTTTCCAAGTCTTATTTATTTAGGCATACCTTGATCAGGGTAAAAGCGCTTGCCGATTGGACGTCTATATCGTATAGCTTCCGTAGGAAAAATTGTTAAAGGCTGCGAAAATATCCCTTTTTTCCCTATTTGTATATGACAATTTTGCAGTATAAAAGCTATTGGCATGAAACTATGCAATTTATCTAATTTATTTATGTACACCTTGCTCAGGGTAAAAGTTGCTGCCAATCAGACAAGTACATACTACATCCGCTATTTAAAAATTAAATTAATTACGTATAGCTAATCTTTTTTATACCCTTGCAGAGGGTATTATAATTTTGGTCAGAAGTTTGTAACGCAGTGAAGGAGACGTTTCCGACCCCATAAAGTATATATATTCTTGATCAGGATCAATAGGGGAGTCGATATAGCCATGTCCGTCTGTCCGTCTGTCCGTCTGTCCGTCTGTCCGTCTGTCCGTCTGTTTCAATACCGTTTGCGAGCTCAGTTTAAAAGCTAGCGATCTGAAACTTTCACAATCGTCCTAAAACATGTGTACGCAGATCAAGTTTGAAAATCGCCCCGATCGGACGTCTATATCCTATAGCTCCCATAGGAACAATTGGATATATCTTGCAAGAATTTATGATATTTCGCGCAGTGTAAAAGCTATTGACATTAATCTTTACAAATCGTATTTTTTTATGCATACCTTGATCAGGGTAAAAGCGCGTGGCGATCGGACGTCTATATCCTATAGCTCCCATAGGAACAATAGGGTAAAATCGGTTAAAATTTAATGATTTTTAGGATATTTCGCGCAGTGTAAAAGCTATTGACATAAATCTTTCCAAATCTTATTTTTTTATGCGTACCTTGATCAGGGTAAAAGCGCGTGACGATCGGACGTCTATATCCTATAGCTCCCATAGGAACAATAGGGTAAAATCGGTCCAAATTTGATGTTTTTCAGAATATTTCGCGATGTGTAAAAGCTATTGCTGTACATTTTTTCAAATCGTATTTTTTTATGCATTCATTCATCAAGGTAAAAGCGCGTGCTGATCGGACGTCTATATCCTATAGCTCCCATAGGAACAATACGGTGAAATCGGTCAAAATTTCATGTTTTTTAGAATATTTCGCGCAGTGTATAAGCTATTGACACACATTTTTCCAAGTCTTATTTATTTACGCATACCTTGATCAGGGTAAAAGCGCTTGCCGATTGGACGTCTATATCGTATAGCTTCCGTAGGAAAAATTGTTAAAGGCTGCGAAAATATCCCTTTTTTCCCTATTTGTATATGACAATTTTGCAGTATAAAAGCTATTGGCATGAAACTATGCAATTTATCTAATTTATTTATGTACACCTTGCTCAGGGTAAAAGTTGCTGCCAATCAGACAAGTACATACTACATCCGCTATTTAAAAATTAAATTAATTACGTATAGCTAATCTTTTTTTTATGTATAATTATAGAAAACTTAATTTTTATACCCTTGCAGAGGGTATTATAATTTTGGTCAGAAGTTTGTAACGCAGTGAAGGAGACGTTTCCGACCCCATAAAGTATATATATTCTTGATCAGGATCAATAGGGGAGTCGATATAGCCATGTCCGTCTGTCCGTCTGTCCGTTGTCCGTTGTCCGTCTGTCCGTCTGTCCGTCTGTTTCAATACCGTTTGCGAGCTCAGTTTAAAAGCTAGCGATCTGAAACTTTCACAATCGTCCTAAAACATGTGTACGCAGATCAAGTTTGAAAATCGCCCCGATCGGACGTCTATATCCTATAGCTCCCATAGGAACAATTGGATATATCTTGCAAGAATTTATGATATTTCGCGCAGTGTAAAAGCTATTGACATTAATCTTTACAAATCGTATTTTTTTATGCATACC